TTAGGGAGGCTCTTATTACAGACAGCTGCTGCCATCGCCACGCGAACATTCAGGCGCCGTTTCAGCAGCCACGCGGCGCGCGCGCGCCGGATTTGACTGAAAGCCCCGTCGAGGAGACGCGGGAAGGGATTGCGCAGGCGCGGAGCTCATGGCGGAGGGGTGCAGAAGCGCGCCCGCATAGGCAGGACTAGCATCCTCCGACCATCCGTCTCCATCTGCACGGTAAGGGCCGCCCTGTCGAGTCGCGCCCGCGCAACAGCGGCCCCTCGGCTGGGGGGGCTCGGTATGAGCCGCGATCTTGCCAAGGAAGAGGCCGCGGCACCGAGCCGTTTGGGCCCCTCGGTGCCTGGCCTGTGGCGGGCGGCCAATCCGGTGGGTCCGTGGCCGGTGGATCCGTGGCCTGTTCCCGGAACACGGCTTGGCAGTCCGGGGCGGTACTGGGCTGCGGGTCCGGCCTGGGCTTCGGCGAGGTTCGGCGCGATGAGGGCCGGTTCCCCTTGCCTGCCGCAAGCGTGCAGCCGCCAGTCCCTGCCGCGTTAGCCCCGGGCAGGGGATTGATTCAGATGCTCGCCCTAAACCGTTGTGGGTTGGTGTGGTTCATATTTAATGAAGAGGGGACATGAGCGATGTGTAACAGCGTAGGGCATCCCTGGAGATGTTATTCTCTGATTTTGTTTGATTTCTGGACAACTGAAACCACAAGAGAAGTCATTAGCTGGACGTCGTGGTGAGGCACACTGCAGTTAGGAGCTCAGCAGCCTGGTCTTCACTGGGAGAGCCTTTTGCCTCGTAATAAATGCCACATAACTTCAGCTGAGTGGCAGCCAGTGTTCCAGTGTGAGGTGATAAACTCAGACAAGCAGGGGAGCAGCAGTTCTCTGTGCCTTATGGAAGGCTTTGGTGTTGCAAAGTACATTTTTTTGATCTACTTGTTGCAGACTCGGTGGAGCTACGATAAGGTGACAAACCCATTGCCAACATGTTTCTCTACAACCTGACGTTGCAGCGTGCCACTGGTATTAGCTATGCTATCCATGGCAATTTTTCAGGTAATTTTCTTCTCCCTTCATGCATCTAGGCTTGAGCTTTTTGGGTCGTAGTGGAAAAAAAGGTGGTTTTTATTTGGTTTAGTTGCTGACATTAGTTTGCTTCAGTGTGCCTTTTTTTTTTTTTTTCCAGTGGTATATTGTTATTTCCTCTTGAGCTGTTGTAACTTGTGGAAGGATCAAGAGAAGTTTGGGTCGATTATCTATAGATTTAATTTAGTAGTTTTTTTGGGTTAGTTTTCCTGGTCTGTTAAGAAGTACTCAATCAGTAATGAATGTAGTTGCTTCGAATTCTTCCATAGAAATCATAGAACTCCTTGGCATTTACTAGTAATGAAATTTTATTTTATTTCTTGTAGTGCTTCTTAAAGTTGCATGTTCTGCTGCATTCTTGCCAACTCTTTGTCACATTTTGGGTTCTCTAGGAACCAAACAACAAGAAATTGTTGTTTCCCGTGGCAAGATCCTGGAGTTACTGCGCCCCGATCCCAACACAGGGAAAGTTCACACTCTGCTAACTGTGGAAGTGTTTGGAGTCATTCGGTCCCTCATGGCCTTCAGGCTGACAGGTGGCACCAAAGACTATATTGTCGTAGGCAGTGATTCGGGGCGCATTGTTATTCTGGAATACCAGCCCTCAAAGAATGTTTTTGAGAAGATTCATCAGGAAACCTTTGGCAAGAGTGGATGTCGCAGAATCGTTCCTGGCCAGTACTTGGCTGTAGACCCAAAGGGCCGTGCCGTCATGATCAGTAAGTCAGTATATCAGCTTGGTTTCACTTTATCTTTCTTTCTTCTGTCTTGTGGATATTTATTTTGGAGTGAGTTTCTGCCACTCAAGGTGTAATTGGAAGGGTTTCTCAGGTAATTGCTAAGCTATGAGACATGAGAGAATGCAGGCATTCAGAATAGTTCTTTGATGCGCATGGAATTGCACAAATGAATTCTAACGCTGGAAAGAGGCCAGCTTGCTTAACGGTGCACAGATCCACAGAGTGCCATGTCTGGGAGAGAAGTTGGGGTTGCATGCATCAGTGCCACCATGTAGTCACTCAGCTGCCGTAGCCTGAAGTGACGTTATGAGTTCCTTACTCTTCTCTGAGATGTATCATGGAGGCAGTTAGATGCATTTCTGATCCAGCTTCCCCAGTAGAAGGACACTTGGGTGATTTTGGGGGGTTTTTATAAGATTTGCCACAAGGTGTCTTAGTGAATTGGTCCTTTTTGGCAACTTTCTGAGTTGCCAAAGCCAGCTTTGTACAGTGCTGCTTTCCTACACACTGAGAGCTTGAAGCGATAGTACTTTAATAGTGTTTTTGTTTTCTATTAGGAATATCAACAAATAATGTTTTCTTTCTAACAAGTCTTGTTTTCATGAGTGTGGAGGTAGCCAGTTACAGTTGTGCCATTCATGTTCATAGTGAGTGGTTGTTATGATGTGGATACTGCATATCGCTTAACTAAGAATGGATTTTCTTAGTAACAATATTTCTGAAGAGATGTTACTGCCAAATGGCTTTAAACGGTGGAAGATCTGCCTGTGCTCAATTTGGTTTTCCCTCCCTGCAGTCTGTCATCTCTTGTGTGGTAGAATGAGTGAGTAGACCTGCCTGTAGCCATTGTAGATTGGCTGTTGTTCTAGATGAGCGTAGCTCAAAGGGTCAGGTTTTGCCTTTAAAGAGCTGGAGTTGGCATTTTTGCTTGCAGCCCAAAACATTTAAAATGAGGCGTTTAAAGTTAATTGGTGGCACAGAGATAAATACTGATGGTGAGCTTCAGCAGAAGTAACAAACATTCTCTTGCAAGGCTGTGTATTGATACTGGACTGCAGATATGGTCAGATTTGATCAGCAGGAGCTGTGCTTCAGGCACTGTTGTCCTTGTTTTTGCAGGTGCTATTGAAAAGCAGAAGCTGGTGTATATCTTGAACAGAGATGCTGCTGCTCGTCTCACCATTTCCTCCCCACTGGAAGCCCACAAGGCCAATACTTTGGTCTACCATGTGGTGGGAGTCGACGTGGGATTTGAAAACCCAATGTTTGCTTGTCTGGAAATGGATTATGAGGTGAGAAGAGCTTGATCTCCCTTTGCCGTCTTTTGAGCTTTGTCATGCCTCTTCTGTTCTTAATCTGTCTGTGGAGGCAGGGAATGTTGGCTGCTTTTGCTGTCTGAGGCAATTTTCAGTTGTGAGCTTGCTTTTTGTCTTGCCTTCAGTCAGAATAGACAAATCTCTTCTTTCTAGGTGATGATTCTTAAATTCTTGCTTTTCAACTGCAGATGTGCGTATTTTCTTCCTCCGTACCTTTTGTGGTGCATCTTCCAGCAAGTCTTCTTTTGGATTTCATTCTAATGCTACTCAAAACTGTTTCCCATGTGTCAGCTTTGTTCTTTCTTTAATACCTTTCTTGAAAGACTCTTTCATGTGTTTTGTTTTAGGAAGCAGACAATGATCCAACAGGAGAAGCAGCAGCCAACACACAACAGACATTGACATTTTATGAACTGGACTTGGGTTTGAACCATGTTGTTAGGAAATACAGTGAGCCCTTGGAAGAGCACGGCAACTTCCTCATAACAGGTACTGCCAACTGCACCACAAAGTCATTTTCCCATGAATATACTTGGTTCCCGTTCTCCCGGGAAACAGCCAATATTCTTCACATTTTGGGAGTTGTGTTGATGGTAGCTGGAGCCATTAGTATAAATTAATTGACTTTGGAGTTGGATAATGAGTGGTGGTTCACACATGGAAATGTCCAAGAATTCCTAGATACAGCTGTGTTGTGAAAGTGCTCCTCATCTCTTCTTTTGGATGTATTCTGGATATTCTCTGGATTCCAAAGCTAAGAGATATTAATTAGATTGCATCTAGCTGGGAGCAGATGCAAAACTACGCATTTTTAGGTAATACGGGAGTACTTCGTACTCTCATACAGGATTCCATCAGTTAATAAATGTTTGAAAGACAGTATATGAATCCATGTACCAAGGTGGTATATAAAGCAGCCTAATGCCTTCAATCTGGGAAACCACTGGAGTGCTGCCGATTCCTCTTGCAAGTATGAAGGAAGCTAAACTAGTTGACAATCCTTGTGGGCTTGCCCTGTTGTTGCACCTTCTGTAGGCAGCTGTTGAGACATCCAATACTGGACTGGATCCGATGACTACCACTATTTTGAGCATATCTTTTGTTATGCTGGCACCTCAATAGAAGTGTTTTAAAAAACATACTCTAAAAATGAGAGATAAGTCAGGAAACCATCTGGTGGAATTTTTTTTTTTGACGGCAAGCAAAGATGCCAGTAAGCCTAGGGTTGTGTTTAACTGACAAGTTGCTAATACGGTGTTTTGGGCATGTGATTTTCTAGACAAGAATAAGCCAAGAAAGCTAAAACATAAGCCATTTGAAGCTACATCCTTCCTTTTTCTCCTTCCTGGTCCCCTAGTTCCATCTGCCATCTTGTCGTGCTGACACAGGCAGCTGTACTTGGTTCTTTGTCTTATCCTTTAATAAGAGCAGATTATGTAGGGTGATGGAGAGGACTGAAAGCTATGACACTTTAAAGAAAGCCTAAAGAAATGTTCTGCAGGCAGCAACTCAGATCTGTGGGAAGGGCTTTTCTCATAGTATTTCTTCTTTTTGTCTCAGTTCCTGGTGGTTCTGATGGACCTAGCGGGGTGCTAATCTGTTCTGAAAACTATATTACTTACAAAAACTTTGGTGACCAGCCTGATATCAGATGCCCAATTCCCAGAAGACGGGTGAGAATTTTGTGATTCCTATCCTTTTTTTTAACATTAGCTTTGTCAGTGCTAAGTGAAAGCTTTGTGTTTGCCTTTTGAGATTAAAGGTGTCAGGGAGGCTTTACAGTAAGAAAAAAGGAGTTAAGTCTGTTAGCCTCTCACCTACCTTACTGGATGCAAGTTACGCAGGAGGGAAGATGGAGGTGGGCATAGCCTGAAGTGATGAGCTTGGTTCATGTCTCTTCTCTGAAACCTATGCTGGAGATACTCCAAAAACTCTGATCAGGCCAGCGCTGTCTGTGTACAGTGGCATTATGTGAGGTGGTGAGTCATGGTTGCTGTTGTGTGCCCAGGTAAATTCAAGAGCTGCTTTGTTGCATCTAAGGCTGCTTCCTTCACCTTTGGTGTTGCAAATTGTGTGCTTTGAGCACCTGCCAAAGTTCAGCTGCTCACAAAGGGCCACATGTGGATTGCAGCCTTTTCCTCAATGTCTGGTTTTGTTATGTGACAAGTTATCTGGGGAGCAGAGCGAAAAAGATAGGTGATGTTTTGGCACAGTGTCTTAGAAATTTATTGCCTTCTGGGGCAGAGGTGTACCAAGGGTAACTATGGGTACAATGGAGGAGATGTGCTTTGTCTTTAAAGCCTCCTTGCATGCTGTCAGCTCTTTAGGCACCTATGAAATTGAAATTCTTCAGTTGGAGAAATCACATCTGCACTTGCCAGGTAGGTCCACCAATGACATCTCTTTCTTGCAGAATGACTTGGATGACCCAGAGAGGGGTATGATTTTTGTTTGCTCTGCTACACATAAGACCAAGTCCATGTTCTTCTTCCTGGCCCAGACAGAGCAAGGAGACATCTTCAAAATTACTTTGGAGACTGATGAAGACATGGTAAGCGTTATGTGAAGAGCATCAAAAGCATTAAGTGTCCTTAGACAATTACTTTGTGCTCTGAAGTGAAAAAAACGTACTGTGGGCTTAGCTGTGTAATGGCACATGGTTTGTGCAATTTGTAATACTGTTACATCTGCAGTTCTAACTGATGTTCACTCATGCGGAGACACAGTACCAGGTTTGCAAAATCCTGTGAGAACTGTGCTGCAGAGTCATTTGGGTATACTTTAGATGTTCTGCAGGCAGTTCTCTCTTCAGAAGATGTAAAGTTTGGTCCATGAACCTGCATAAGGAGGTATTCGAAAAACTGATTCTGGGGCACTGAAGTTTCTCTTGATCACAGTAGGTGCTCTCTGTTTCATCTCTTGATTGAATATTTATATGCTGTTATTTTTTTATTCGAATTGAGGTAGAGTTGATCCATGAGTTCGAATCAGAGGCTTGCAGTGGCATGCCACTGGTTGTCCTAGTATTTTGCAATGAAACTATTTCTGCTGCAGTGAATCAGTTGGGGGTTTTGAGTAAATGTCAAATATCAGTTCTTCCTTCATCTAAACATGTCAGTTTAGGGACGATTGTGTTCCATCTTTAAGTGGCTTCAGGTCATTCTTGAATGTTTCACCAACAGCTGTTGTGACTATATGAAATGTAGAAATACACTCAAGACAGTTATTTCTTCACATGCAGGGGAACGGCTAGTGTTCAGTGAAGCAAATTTCTTTTTGTTCAACAGCTTGCTATTTTTGCAGCTGCCTTTTTTTTCCCTCCAGACTGATTCAGTGTTACCAAAAGTCTTCAAATAAAATGGGCAGCCTGACTTTTGTGTTCAAAATTGTCTGCTGTATTTCATGATTCATAACTTGCTGTCCCAAACTACTGATGTGGTTAAGCCTGGCCCACTCTCCTGCTGCTTTTTTTTGGAGACGATAGCTAAGCAGCTGCTTTTAATTAAGCCACACATGTACAGCTCTAGCCCTGTACTAGTACAGTCACATCTTCCTCTGTTTTCAGGTTACAGAGATTCGTCTGAAGTACTTTGATACTGTTCCTGTCGCTGCTGCCATGTGTGTGCTGAAAACAGGGTTTCTGTTTGTGGCATCTGAATTTGGAAACCAGTGAGTAAACAATCTGATGTCAGTATTTTCCCCCTGGAAGACAGGTTTTCTGTTTGTGGCATCTGAATTTGGAAACCAGTCAGTAAACAATGTCAGCATTTTCCCCCTGGAAAACAGACTGTTTCTGTTCAGGGCTGCAAACTGGCACCTGAACCTAATGAACGTAGAAAGACAACACTTCTGTTTTCATTGGTACATTAATGCTCTGTTCACATGTCTTGAGCAGAACAGTTGGCTTAGGATATGACTGAATGGAGGGACTTTCTTGTTTGAACCCAAATTAGATATTGCAGAGCACAGAGCAAGAGATCATAATCTGTTGCAGTAGGTTTTGGAAGAATTGGGCACTTGAAGTTCATATGACATCGATTGTGTATCCAGATGAATTATCTTTTAGTTTGATAGTTTTCATTGAACTTCTGTGTGTTGTGAAGTAGGTAGACCATAGAAATTGCGGTCCTTTCCTTACCAGATGTTTATTTGAGGACTTTCTCAATTCATATTTGGGGTTCCAGGCTATTCTGAAGACGCAAAGACTTTGCAGGCCTTTCAAGATGGTTTAACAGTGTCCGAGTGGGGAATTCACAAGAGTAAAGACGGGAACTTTTATTTTTTTTTCTGACTATATCTGCAGTCAGCCACCTGAGGGAGCTCCTGCCAGTTTACTGCAGTGGCTGAACTGGGTTGCGTAAACCAGGCACTTGAGGAAGCCATATTCATTTGAACTTTATTAAAACCAGGAAGTAAATCAGTCTGTATATCTGGGGTTGTGGTTTTTTTTTTGTTGTTGTTTTATTTCCCCCCCTCATCTCCTCTGAAGTTTAACTTGATTATTGTAACATTTAAGTTCATAAAATGGAATAGGGAATACAGATTAAAATAGTCAGATGAGAATATTCCACTAAAAAAAGATAACTATGGAGTTGCAGTCTTAGCCATTGTCCTTGCATTTGGCCTCAGCTCTCGGTTGCTGCTTTGGCTCTAACACAAGACTATCTGAAAGGCTAGTGGGTAAATGGAGAAAACACTGGGACTCTGGGACACCGTGCCAGTGACAGCTACAAAGGTTTGAGGGGGCGGTTGTGAATTTTTTTGTTTGGAGTTTTTCTTCAAGGTCTCTGATTCCCTTTAAAGAGTTTTTCACCAAGATGGCAATCCTTAAGGCTAAATTTTGATAGCTGTATAATGTAAGGAAGGATTTCCCTCTGGGGCCTGAGTATCTCTCTATGCCTTACTTAGAGAGAAGTCTACATGACCTTCACACTGAACATGCTGTTGCTCTTGCTCTCTGTCTCAAGTTACCTGTACCAGATTGCTCACCTGGGTGATGATGATGAGGAACCAGAGTTCTCTTCTGCTATGCCTCTTGAGGAAGGAGATACATTCTTTTTCCAGCCACGACCTCTCAAGAACCTGGTGCTGGTGGATGAGTTGGACAGTTTGTCTCCTATTCTGTGTTGTCAGGTATGTTGCCATCAGCAAGCTTCCATTCACCACTTAAGTCTTTCTCATTTACAGATGAGTTGATCATAGGTGAATGATTTTTTCTTCAGAGTATTTGTGTGTAAGCAGAGTCCCAAAGCTGCATTATCCTAGGTTTCCAGAAATACTGCTCTATAGTAAATCCTGGTAGAAAAGCAAGCCTGCTAAATTCTTGAGCAGCTGCTTAAGACTGGTATTTGGCCTGGCAGCCTTTGATTCCTGAGGTGATAAATATATATATATATGTATAAAAAAAATATATAGGAAGTTGACAAGGCCTTCTACAGGCAGCTGAGAGCGGCCTCACAGTCACAGGCTGTGGTCGTCGTGGGGGATTTTAACTTCCCTGATGTTTGCTGGAAGGACTACTCAGCAACCCAGCCACAGTCCAGGAGGTTCCTCCAGTGTATGGATGATACCTTCCTCATGCAAATGGTAAATGAGCCACCCAGGAGAGGAGTGCTGCTGGATCTCATCCTCACTAGCAAGGAGGGTCTGGTCAAAGCAGTAAGGGTTGAGGGCTGCCTTGGTTGCAGCGACCATGAGATGGTGGAATTCAGGATTTTGTGTGGTAAGACCAGTAGAATTGCAACCCTGGACTTTAGCAGGGCAAACTTTGGCCTTTTCAAGCAATTGCTAGGGGAAATCCCATGGGCAAGGCTGCGTGAAGGTAAAGGGGCTCAAGATAGTTGGTTGGCATTCAAGGATTGCTTTTTCCAAGCTCAAGATCAGAGCATCCTGACACATAGGAAGTCAAGGAAGAGGGCCAGGAGACCTGCATGGCTAAATAGGGAATTGCTGGGTATGCTCAAGTGGAAGAGGAGAGTTTACAGGTCATGGAAGGAGGGGCTGGCCACTTGGGAGGAATATAAGGCTGCTGCTAGAGGATGTAGGAAGGCAGCTAGGATGACTAAGGCCTCCTTAGAATTAAATCTGGCGAGAGGGGTCAAGGACAGCAGAAAGAGCTTTTTCACATACATGGCAGATAAAACTAACACCAGGGGCAATGTAGGCCCACTGATGAACAGGATGGGTGCCCTGGTGATAGAAGGTACAGAGATGGCAGTGTTACTGAATGCCTTTTTTTGTCTCTGTCTACTCTGCCGGAGGCAGTCCTGAAGAGTCCTTTACCCCTGAGACCTCAGATGAAGTCAGGTCAACGGAGCGGTTTGCCTTAGTCAATGAGGAATGGGTTAGAGACCAGTTGAGCAATCCGAACATCCATAAGTCCATGGGTCCAGATGGGATGCACCCGCGGGTGCTGAGGGAACTGGCAGAAGTCATTGCTAGACCACTCTCCATCATCTTTACCAAGTCTTGGGAAACGGGAGAGGTGCCTGAGGACTGGAGGAAAGCAAATGTCACTCCAGTCTTCAAAAGGCAAGGAGGACTTGAGTAACTATAGACCAGTCAGCCTCACCTCCATCTCTGGGAAAGTGATGGAACACCTTATCCTTGGTGCTATCTTAAGGCATATCAAGGATAAGAGGGTTATGAGGGGGAGTCAGCATGGCTTCACCAAGGGGAAATCATGCTTGACCAATTTCTTAGCCTTTTATGAGGAAATAACACGGTGGATAGATGATGGCAGAGCGGTGGATGTGGTCTACCTTGACTTCAGCAAAGCATTTGACACAGTCTCCCACAGCATCCTCACGGCTAAATTGAGGAAGTGTGGTCTGGATGATCAGGTAGTGAGGTGGACTGTGAACTGGCTGAAGGAGAGAAGCCAGAGAGTTGTAGTCTATGGGGCAGAGTCTAGTTGGAGGCCTGTATCTACTGGAGTGCCTCAAG